CTTCAGTGGCACCAGCTGCGACCAATTCCACACTTTCCGCTGGAGGCTACAATCAGTGGAAAAGGCGCCAGCTTCTTATTTGCTAGGTGTAGAAGCAGCCTCACAGCTTGGAAGAGAGTCGGGTCCTCCTTCAAGCATACACTAAAATTTTTCGTTCACAGTCGTTTTTTACCACGTTACCATCTGCATGTTCACACAAATTCACAATACTACATAGCGCTACATCTTTTGAACCATAGAAGGCATTTTGGAGCATAGTCCAGGCTTCTAATATGAGCGTAGTGGACCTACCGTTATTATCTTATTGGTGAGCCCCTATTCTGCCATAGGAAAGAAAAGAGTGATGTAAAAATTAGGACGAAAGCATGTCAAGTCCGATTCCCTCTAATGATTAAAACTGACTGTGCTTTCATCCGAGCTTCGCCCACATTACGCCGCCCGGAACTCGTCGCATCAGTAGGCCGAGCAAAAACAACTGATTGTGAGGTTTTTAGTTGATCTTGATTGATCTTTCATTTTTATTTTGATCCTCAGACAGTCCTGGGCAAATGCTCAGCGGTGAATTTATGATTGATTCTTAACTACCTGCCTTATTTCACACAATTAACATTATACGGTTGTCACTCGTTAACATAGTGAGTTGAAGAATTCCGTTTAAGTACGTCTGCATGTTTTCATCGCTGTTTGTCATTAGTTTTCCAGATGATCTCATACGTTTACGTTGTTGTATACATGACCATAAAGTATTGATTATGCGCTTCTGAAATTCTGATTGACCCGGAACTTTTGAAGGGGCGTTTCACGATAAACTAAGAGCATAACCTTTTGAATGTGTCAGATGATCCTGTAAGCAATTGTAGATGCTGCTCCGCATTCAAAAAATGATAATTTGTCAGAATTTTAGCGTAGGCCGGTTAGCGGCTCCGTTTGCGTTCACAGGATTGAAGCGCTGTTGCAAGTGTAGCGCGTCGACGCGCGTTACAGCGTCTCACAGCGCGTCATCGCCAAGTGTGAACGCTGCCGAACACCAATTGCCGCGAAATGCCCTCTATGCTCCTTCGATATGAGCGATACGGGCCACTGTCGTCACCGAGAGCAGGGCACATCGTTGTTGGGGAATCCCCAATAGGGGGGGGGGTCGTATTTGGCCGCCAGGAGAGGGGGTCGTATTTGGGCTGGGAAAAATTTATTTTGATAGTTGATTTTTCTCCGCTTCACGATGTGTGTGAAGGGGGGGGGGGGGGAGGTCGCATTGACTTCTTAGGCCTTTCTCAGGAGTGGCGGTTCGACCGCTTCTGGTGAGTTTTCGGCGGTTTCATTTGCGTACTCTATGATCGTTGCGGGGGTCGTACAAGACTCCACCAGAATTCCCGACTAGGGCACAGCAGTTGGTTGGGGATTCCCTATGGGGGGGGGGGGTCGTATTTGGACTGGGAAAAATTTATTTTTCTAGTTGATTTTTCTCTCCTTGCGGACGTTTCGGAGGGGGGGGGTCGTAATTTGGTCCTTGTGGGGAGGGGGGGTCGTATTTCTGGCTAGGAATTATGTGGTTCACTTGGTGGATTTTTATGAATTTACTGTGTTATAGCTAGTATGTACGCCCCCACGTCGTCATTTACGGGCGGGACGTTGTACGCGAAGCTCACCTGCGCGGTTACGATTCTCTTGTCACATACCCGTCGTCACCTTCCTAAACAGGACCCATACAACTCACTGCAGTGCGTACGTACAAGTAATAATTAAATTTTATTGTAACCATATAATAACGTTTAGTGAACACAATAAGCTACGAGCTGAAGACAACCTGGAATTAAACAGGATCGTTCAGCGACCAGGTCCTCTGTGAGACTGCACAAGAAATAATAGAAACACTCTAAAATGAGAATTGGCGCACAAACAAAGCTCTCTCGATCCGACTTCAATGATGACGGTATTTTCAACATCGCAAACGGAAATTGGAAGGAAGATGAACATTGGGAAACATTTACATACGTCATACGCGAATCGCTTCATACAAATAACAATTGGTGTTTTTGTGTGGTGGAGAGATGAATGATGAGAGAAGCAGAGGGGTCCACAGCTAGCGAATTTTATTCTAAAAATTCTCAAGGCCCATCAAGTGCGCGCTGCGATGACGCGCTCTCTTTTCCCCATACAGAACAGAACATAACGAGACAAATGGATGTGGATCGTGATACGGTATTGAGTTCAGATTCAGTAGCGAGAGACGATGGACGAGTATAGGCAGTGTAGAATGAGATACAAAAATATGAAGAAAGTTGCCGGCTGTATGTATGTGATGATGGTACGGGATACGAATTCGCTAGTGGAGCTCCGCTAATATCGACATCGCAAGTATGCTTGGCGCACTTACGAGATTTGCCGCTATGCAAATGTGGTGGGATTAGCAAAACATGAAGAAATGAGAGCAGTAGAAGGTAGGCTTTTTTTGGGAGAAACATGAAGAGAAACAAAAAAAAACGACTGGGACGCCGATCTGCAGAACACACACTGCTATCGTAATCCTCTGCATAGAATGAACGCTGGCCTGCGAATATACAATTCCGAGCCCTATCGATGCATACAGGAAGAAAAGTTGGAGGAAACAAGGAAAGGAACGTCAGGACAGATGACAGAACGATGAACACTGATGCAGCTGGGGTGGGATGGCATTTTTCTCAGGAACACCGCGTTTATACTTCGCGACTTAGCAATAATCGCGCGACTGCGAGCAACCGCACTCCACCGCTAATCTTTGGACTGCTGCAAATTTCTATCTCGAATGACATTTGATTTGTAACCTAAGCGGTCCAATGATTAACATTATAGCGCAGTTCGTCACACTCGCGCTTTTTTCAAATCGCCAGAGCGAATCGCTCAAGCAGCAAAGTATAAATGCAGCCTTACCTACCATAGCACACCAGTGCCCTCATCAACAACCAACCAGATATTATCAAAAAGATCGTGTCAGCTGCCCGGCTCAAATGAGACCAGTATAATTTACTATGTGTGCTGTGCATTGTGCTGGTAACCATTATAACAATTTTGAAATATAGCCCAAAAGGCCCACATCTCTACTAAAGTCCCATTGTGCAGGGAGGCTAACACATAAACTCCACTATAAAAAAGCTTCCGCTATGCAATCATTGCGCTATTTTTCGCTCAAACAATGCAACAGAATAGATCCCAATGGAGGCAATGTCATTACGCCGGACCAAAGGGGCGGTATGGATTGGAGGACGCACGCGAACCGTAGTAGCACATAATGAACGATGAGAAAAACGGATAACAATGAAAGTGGGAGGGCGCGTGGGCTGTGAGAGAATTCGAGTAGACAAGAGCGCATCACCGCTGCCGAATACGTTGACGACTCTGTCTTCTCTGTGCGATCAAGCTCACAACATACCGTGCGAAACAGGACTAGAGGAGGATGAAACTTCTGTTCGAGCAACGTTATCTATTACTACTTTTTGCTCCGTGAAAAGAAGCCTGATTTCTTCGCTTTCGCTTGTGCACCTTCTGGCAACGTTTGCGATCGTGAGCCTTCTTCCAAATGCGCTTGACCCGTCGCCAACTGCAATTCGGTCAACCAGCGTTGACAATCCTCCTGAAAACAACAGCATACTCCACAGTGAACTCACAGAACCGTAATAAGAGGTTTGGTTCACGAGATCCTAGTTGCGGCATCGCGCGCAAACTAACCGAACCTGGCTACAAATCGATTACGTCATTAAACCCCTACGGCCAGTACGCTCTTTCAGAACACGTTCATACTTCACGATTCCGTCTGTCGCGCGATTAAGCCGACCGAATCGCGAGGTATGAACGCGCTATCACGGCCTTAGCAAAAAGTTCGACAA